TGGATCCCTCCTGAACCCACTGGATCTTCTCCTCGGACGGGTTTGTCCTCCAGACTGGCCTTCTGCTGGATCTTCTCATTAACTGAATGTTTTCTCTGGGAATCAGGAGATCTGTTGGAGATCTGCTTACAAGGTCAGAACCTGTTCTGGACTGGCTCAGAGCATCAGGAGCTCTCAGGATTTCTTTACAGGTCAAAGTTCATCTCAAAGCACTGGATCGGCTCGCCTGTAGTACCGCAACTTCGTCACGCGGTGGCAACAGTGAGGCTATCAGGAAGCGAGATACCCCGCAGAAACAAAGAAGAAGGGTTCAGTGTGTATGATCAGGAGCCGAACTCGGAACCACAGCTTTGATAAAATAATAATTAGTGTTTTGTTGTGGACCGGAACCAGTTGTGGCTTCCTGCTACTTGTGAAGCGCCGCACCGACCCGCAGCTCCCCGCGCGGCCTCAGTGCATCTCTGCGGGAGAAGATGTTCCGCGGCCGGCCTCCGTTTAGAGGCTACCCGCCTCCTGTGAGGCCTTATCCGTCACAGGGATATCGGGATGACAGGGCCCGACCGAGACCTCCGTACCACCAGGACTATCCGGAGTACCGGGACCACGGAGCTTCGGAAGCCTACCACAGGAGGCACCCGTCCCCCGGCCCCGGAGGCCACCGCGGCGGGGACTTTTGGACCGGAGGTGCGCCTCCGGAGGTGAGTGAAACTGGACTCAGACCGCAGCGAATGATGTGAAAACCTGTCAATTACTCCTCTCAGAATCGGGTCTTTTATTGGTCCAGAACCAGAACTGCAGGACAGTCTTTGGGTTCTGATAGGTTCCTGGTCTGGTCTACAGCTCGCAGGCGCAGCTGCAAGCCAGACTTCATTCAAAAACGGGTTGATTTAAACCGGAGACTTCTGAGCGGCGGAACCGGGAGATTCCAAGCTGCAGTCAGCTTGAAGGAAAACAAGCTATTGATCGGCTCTGATCAGATCAATAAGTTTGATCTGATCAAACTGTTATTGCTCACAGAAAAAAACACATATGGTGCGTTCGAGGGTTTGTTTTCAGTGTAGGACATTTAGAAAGTCTCTGAGTTAATCAGGAGATTATTATAATTACTATTGTTGTATTAAACCAATTATAGATCAGACAGTCCAATGGACCCGGATATCCGGTTCTGTGGGTGATTAGTGATTACCTGTGTTGTCTCCTGCAGAGGTCTCCGTCTCACAGAGGACCAGCTCACCTGGACCACAACCTGGTTATCAGCGTGGGGAACGAGCTGACCGGCCCCCCGTCCCACCACGACAGGTAGCCAGAGGCAGGAGAACCTGGATTCTGGTCCATATGGAGGACCGGGGTTCTGATCCATCACTGATCTCTGGTTCTGTGATCCAACATGAGTTTAGTCCCTTCAACACTGTCAGACATTCACTCTGCACAGGTTTGGTTTGATCAAAAACAAAGACAGCATTAAACTAAACAGGAAAACCATAATCACGTAAAGATGTCCAGATATAAAAGTTAAAATCAGAAACATTCCTGCTGCAGATACATTTATATCACATAAATATGAATTAATATAGTGATTTAAAATGGTTGTGATGGAGGAGGACGCTGAGATCAGGTGATAACTGCAGACCTGGATATTTTTGTCATCATTAGGACTGTCATGTGTTCCCAGAGCCAAGCAGGTCAATATCCAGAATACAGTAAAATTATTATTGTTAATCTTTCGTCCCACAGCAGGATATCCAGGCGCTGCGCATGTAGGTTCACAGAAAGATTAATGTATTAAAATATATATAAAACAACATTTGCAATAATATCCTGAACAAAAACCACAGAATAAAATAAAATCGTACATAACTATTTACGCTCTTCTTTCGTATGGTCTTCTTTGGTGGTCTGTTTTTTCAGGCAGTGAGCCGCTGGCTCCTCTCACCGACCGTAAACCTGCTGAGTCCATCGCTCTTCTGTCAAAACCACTACAGTTTCCCCAAAACGCAGATAAGTAGCCGCTCCCAAGGGGGCGGGGCTTGTTGCTCCAACAATCCGACATCTCCTCCTATTAGCTGATGGATTATGAATACATCTCATGTTTAATGACCTATGGCGTGAACAAGCTTATTCACCTGTGATTTTAATTCAATTTCTTGTAACGGAAACAACCCAATTGCAAAGTTGTTTTATTTTTACATTAGCAGAATATAGACAAAGATTTGCTCTCATTAGTAATGGAAACCTTTGTTAGGGGAACTGGCTTTCTGCCTTCTTTTGGGTTTGTTCTCTGTCTGAATGTTCAAACCTCTGATCGGCCACCGAGCCCCGCTGCCTGGTTAGGGTAACCCACGTGTTTCCCATGCAAACTGAGTGGATCTGTGAACCTGTCATGCTAAGGCTCCTTGTCCCACAAGGCACACCGAACAGTTCCCTGGAGGTTAGGAAGGAATAAAGACTTTAAACGGTGACCATTTTTGAGGTCTGAAAATAAGGTTTTCTCAACCTGAGGCGGTGCTCTCGGGGTGGTTCATGTTCTCCCTGCAGAACCCAAGAAGCATGAAAAGCAGCAGAATCCTGACCTCTGTGTACAGAATACTCCTCTCTTAAAGCGTGACAAAGACCTGAATAACTATCACCGATCTCAGTGCGAAGAGTTTTTACAAAAACATGAACGGTCCTAGCTGTTGGTTTCCAAATGAGCTTCAGGAAGAGGGCAAGTCAAGCAGGCAGCATTGATCTCATGCATGTTTGACTCCTGATTACCGGGGTTGAAAACCTGCATGTCTCTAGCAAAGGGTAGGGTTAGGGTTAGGGTGAATATGAAGACGATGTTCCACTGGTGGGCCTGGTCCATGTGGCAGTCCACTCTGGTTATGTTCAATGAATGGTGGATACTTTTGAACTAACCTTTGAGGAAGAAAAGAAGATGGCTCATGGTGTAATTTACAGCTTCTCAATGCTTGGGCTTGTTCATCTCAGTCCCATGAGTAACTCTTCCTCCACTATCTGTGGAGGTAACAGGAAGCATTCAGGAGACTGCAATAACCTCTGGAAAAATGGACTCTGCTCTAGATTCAGCACTGCAAGTTGTACATCTGTCCTCTGAGTCTTTCTCCTGCTGTGTGTCAGGCTGTGGCACAGTGCTACCTGGTAGGTTAAGTCCCCCTTTTTGAGATGAGGGCTCTCTGACCTCACCAGCACTATTCATTGTAGGGATGGTGTGCTACTGACCTCAACTTGGAGTGAGGTCAGTAGCACACTGACCTCATTCCAAGGGGATGAGGTCAGTGTGAGCAGAATACTTCAAAAACCTCCTCAGTCCCAACAGCACATCATCCAGTGAGTAAACTGAGCCTGGGGACATTCGATCTGGCTCTCCAATCTCTGGTGGTCACTGAGGTGGTTAAAGATCTACTCGTTTAATATGACTCTTCAATATTGCGTAGACATTGGGGGCATCTGGGGATTGGTCAGACTGGGGGGGTTCCCTTGTTCAAAAAGGGGGTCCGCGCAGAGTGTGCTCCAGTTACAGAGGGGCCACACTCTTAAGCTTCCCTGGTAAGGTCTATTCAGGGGTCCTGGAGAGGAGGGTCCGTCGGATAGTCGAACCTCGGATTCAGGAAGAGCAGTGTGGTTTTTGTCCTGGTCGTGGAGCACTGGACCAGCTCTACACCCTCAGCAGGGTCCTGGAGGGTGCATGGGAGTTCGCCCAACCGGTCTACATGTGTTTTGTGGACTTGGAGAAGGCGTTCGACCGTGTCCCTAGGGGGGCCTTGTGAGGGGTTCTCTGGGAGTATGAGGTACCGGGCCCTTTGATACGGGCTGTTAGGTCCCTGTATGACCGGTGTCAGAGTCTGGTCCGTATTGCCGGCAGTAAG